CTCTTAAAAGCAGCAAGAGAAAAGCAGTTAGTTACCTACAGGGGAGTTCTCATAAGACTGTCAGCTGGTTTCTCAAAAGAAACTTTGCAGGCTAGAAGAGTTTGCCAAGAAATAGTCAAAGTGATGAAAAGTCAGGACCTACCACCAAGATTACTCTACCCAGAAAACTACCATTTAGAGTAAAAAAACAGAGAGCTTCCAAGACAAGAAAAAGCAAAAGGAGTCACCACCAAACCAGCATTACATGAAATTTTAAAGGTTCTTAAGAAAATAAAAAACATGAACAATAAAATGGCAACAAATACATATCTATCAATAAATGAACCTAAAAAACAAATAAACAAGAACAGAAACAGAATCATAGATACAAAGAACATTTTAATATTTTGATGGATGCCAAATAGTGGGGCTGGGAAGATGGGTGAAAAAGATGAAGGGATGAAGTACAAATTGGTAGTTACAGCACAGTCATGGGGATATAAAGTACAGCATAGGAAATGGAGTAGCCAAAGAACACATATGCATGACCCATGGACATGGACAATGGTGTGGGGACTGCCTGATGGGGGGGCTGAGTGGAGAAGCATAAAAGGGAAAGTATTGGGACAACCGTAATAGCATAATTGATAAAATGTAATTTTAAAAAAAGAGCATATGTAGTACAAGTTAAAAAATAAAATAATAAGCCAAATCCAGAATGTGAAAACAGCATGGAAAAGAAAATCTTGGGACTCGGGAGTGGAGAGAGGGCCTCCCTCTTAAAAGATAGACCTCAGGGATATATTAAGTAAATGGAATGTGTGATTTGGATCCTTATTTGAATCAACTGTAATAAGGCACTTTTGAGACAAGATGGACATTTTAAACACAGACTAAATATTGGGTGATATTAATTTTGTTAGGTGTGATACAGTCTTTGTTGTTAGAGATATTTCATGAATTTATTTTAAAATACTCTTAAGAAAGAAGTATAGGCAGATAAAGCAAGTTCAGCAAAATGTTGACAGTTATGGAATCTAGGTGAGGGTACATTTTAATTTTGCGTATATTTGAAAGTTTTCTATAATAAAAAACAAATTCAAAGAGTATTCCGTAGACATCTATATTAAAAACAAAAGATACAAATAATTATCTCTGTTATAGTGCCTTGCTCTTGGATTTGTAATCCTGGCAAGAAAATGAAAGAATGGAGGAAAAAATGGCTTAATTTAAAATAATGCTCAATTGAATGATTCAAACAGTAAGCACAATAGCTTTGGGAAGAAATTAGTATTACTGGAATTATTAGATAGTTGCAGGAATGTTTACTGTAATTTAAAAAATTCACTAGAATGTGTTTGTGCTTGTTTTGAATTTACTCAGCTAGTCTAATACGCAGACTAATTCATCAATCCTGGAATTCTCTAGAAACAGAACAGAAACTCAAAAGTCTGGACAGTAAAAGCACTTCTGTCTTGCCTAGTAAAATGATTGGGTGTTGAAGCATAATCTTAAATAGCAAAGAGATGCAGATATACCTGTAGCATAAGTAAAATAGGTTTATACACAAGTATCTGTAGAATCTTTTTAATACAATTATCTCTCAGCATAATGTACACAGTTTAGAGAAAAAGAAAAATGTCTACCGCTTTCATTAATTACCATTTTTTGGACTATAAGGTGCACCCCCTCCAAATTTGGGAGGAAAGGGAAGGTGCGTCTTATAGTCCAAATGTAGTGTGCCTGGCTCGCTGTGTGTGTGTGTGTGTGGGGGCGGGGGGGGGGCGGGGCAGCGGTAGAGCGAGGTCACAGGCTATTAAATATCTTACCACATTTTTTGCTTCAAATTTTTTTTTCCTATTTTCCTCCTCTAAAACCTATGTGTGTCTTATGATCCGGTGCATCTTATAGTCCTAAAAATATGGTAGATTACCAAATCAACAATGGGGCTGGAATATTAAACACTCAATAATATTAAATGTCTGATAACAAGCTAAACTGATGCCACCGCACTTGGTATAAACGACACAGGTGATTACACCTAGTTGATCCATAAGGACACTGGAAAGACACAAAGATCAAAATCTCAAGAAAATTAGAGAAACCTTATCATGGGTGCGATTTGTAAATGAATATGCAATTTAAAAGTGAACACAAAATCAGACTTTCAAATGCTCAGTGAAAGATAATTTCTAAATATTTCCACTAATAAAGGCCAGCTGACATTTCCATGTATCTGTGGTCATAAAACAGCTTCACCTCTTCCCAAAATATTCCAGTATAAACTTGAACTTATCCAAAGATAAGTTACCTTCATTTTCTGCCTAGGCCAAAAACTAAGAAAAAACAAAAAACAGAATGGTGGGGGGAGCGGGAAGGGAAGAACTCCTTAGTCAAAAATTGCTGTTTTATATAAACAAACTAAAGAATGTAGTGAATAAAAAAAAGAATGCTATAACACATTATAAACTTAGAATTATTTTTAATACATAAGCTAAAACATATCCATACATTATGAGTTACTTTCCGTAATATCAAGATTTTAGTTTACTTGGTAACTGGCCATTAGGCCAACCCTAAAAAGTGCTTACCACCAAATAGAAATTCATCAGGAAATATTGAAATTTTTGTTTTATAGTTAGTTCTCCTAAAATCAGCTGAAATGAGTATTAATGCAGTGAAAAAAAATGGAAGGCCTATTACTGAGTCTCTTTTTTCAATAGTAAGTATATAGTCAACAAATTTGCAGCCAGGCCTTGTATAGCTGCACCATCTATGTTTAATAATGTTTCATAAATTGAATAGAGAATAATATTTACATTAAGACTAAATCTTGTTCCAACTGTATTAAACAGATTAAAGCAAATTTAAATAAGGCCTAATTAGATAAGTGTAATTAATAAACATTTTTAGAATATAAATGAACAGAAATGCTAAGTTTTGTTTAAAATCTTTATAAGCATGTACTGTTTTTATTTTTAAATAATGATCATTTATTGTTTAAAACCTTCAAAAACTGAAACAAAACTGAAAATGTCCTATATCTAACTTTTGTCGCAGAAACTAAAAATACATTATATATTAGTGTTGCTCTTTTTAAAAATATCAGTGAAAAGTATTTAACCATGGAAAATAAGATCTTGATTAGGTTTATAACCAACATTTTCATTTCTAAACTATGAAGGATTAGATGATTTCATACACCTACACCAGTGCACTGTAACTAATTTTAAAATTAGTCCATTGTGAGCTCATCTGGAAATGAAGAGTAAGGTTTAAATATTTTTAAAGATTTAGTATTCTGCCCTGGCTGGCGTAGCTCAGTGGATTGAGCGCAGGCTGGGAACCAAAGTGTCCCAGGTTCGATTCCCAGCCAGGGTACATTCCTGGGTTGCAGGCCATAACCCCCAGCAACCGAACATTGATGTTTCTCTCTCTCTATCTCCCTCCCTTCCCTCTCTAAAAATAAATAAATAAAATATTAAAAAAAAAGAGATTTAGTATTCTCATCAAAGGTAAGTGAAATAAAAAACATCAAGGAACATAGCTTTTTAACTCTAATATTTTAATCTTGCTTCTTTTATTTCAAAAACTTTGAAGTAGAAAAAAAATTTAACACAAATCTTTTTAAACAAAGTAACTATTTTAAAGATGGAGTAAAGTCCACACATTTGGACTCTAAATTTATTTCAGAAAAGATACTTTCAACACATTCATGTATTTAAGTAACATTAGGATAATACATAAAATCCCGAACTGATATATAAAAGACTTTTTTCTGGAAGTGACAAAAATTAAAATTGAAGAAATTCAATTTATAAACTTCTTTCTCATCTAAGTATTTAAAGAAACACATTTATAACGTTTAAATTTTTCGAATGTTGTAAATTCTTTTCAAAAAGCATCACAATTAAAAATCTCAAGATCTGTGAAAAAAAAAAAAGTTTAAAGAGCAATAACTACCTTGATAAACTATACAAACCATCTCATACTTGTCCTCATTTTCATTTACTTTTGGAAAGCATTTTGTTCCTCCCTTTTCTCAAAGAGAAATTCCTATAAATCATTGGTATCTGTCATCTATATCCAGTTCAACTTACATCTTCCTCAAGTCACTTCTCATCTTCAAAGCAAATTTGAATCTAATAAATCAGATGAACAGCAACTGATTCCAAAAGCCAGGTTAAAAACCAAAATATTCTAGTATACACCAGTATATTACACATGTCAATACAGGTTAATGTTAAAAACCTAAGTATTAGCCCTGGCTGGTATAGCTCAGTGGATTGAGCGCAGGCTGAAAACCAAAGCATCGCAGGTTTGATTCCCAGTCAGGGCACACGCATGGGTTGCAGGCCATGACCCCCAGCAACCGCACATTGATGTTCTTCTCTGTCTCTCTTTCTCCCTCCCTTCTCTCTCTAAAAATAAATAAAATCTTTTTTAAAAATCATTTAAAAAAATTAAATTAAAATAAACACCTAAGTATTAAATACTTGTTTAAGAGGCTCAAAAGGAAGTTTTAATATCAGAACCTTAAACCTAGGCTTTCAACTTCATTCTAAGAATGGTTAAAGTAAAGTAGGAATGAATAGCGTCATTATGTTGGACCAAATCAAGCAAGGAATAATAAAGACTACCAAATACAAAAGGGTTTTCTAAGAGTGGTTTTAATTCTTTCTAGGTAACTAGTTTCCTATCATTATACAACAGGAACTGCTGCCATAAAGTCACCAGGAGGAAGTCACATTTCTTCCAGAAATCTACCTCCAGGCATCTACACCCTCCCTGACAAGAACTAAATCTACCCCCTCTTCTCCCTCCCTCAAGTATTCCATTTCTTTCCCAAAGTAGAGCTTCCATAAATAATACAATATTAAGGACTAAATTTTAATGAATACAAATCAGAGGAAATGAAGGAACATTAACTCTCATTCAAACCTTCCTTAAAAAAATCTGTTTCCAAGTTATATTTTTAACTTTCCCCATGATTCTCTTTAAAAAAGACGAACACAAAAATCTCTCTGCTAATGACTTTATTCATGAATCTATAATGGAACTCAAAATAGCAAAGAACATGAAAGAAATTTCAGATTAATATTTATCAACCAAATACATCAAAGAATACATCTATTTTTCATATAACTAACAAAAATGTCTAAAATGTACCTGTAAGAATATAAATATTCTCCATTTTGTGGAATTTCAAAGTAGTAAAGATTTGCTTACTAGTTTGCCAGAAAAGTTCAGTTACACTATTAAATACATATAATTCAAAAGAAATCAAACAACATAAAATAACCATCTCATGGTTAAACTTTTGATAAAGTGCTACTTTCATACTGAAAAAAGAAACTGTAAAGACCACAAAAATGTTAAATGCTGAATCATCATTATGAAAGTGTTAAAAAATTTTTCAATATTCACTACATTTATCACAGTCATGTGTTCCCAATATAAGACCATAAACATTATCTTGAAATTTTAAAATGTCTTTTAGTTCAGATTATTTCCTGGAAGTTAAAAATTACTACATCATTGCTAAATCAGGCTTTTCATGATACAGAAATTTTTAGACAGAATAATTTTTCATTGTTTTAAACATGATCTTTGGTTTGAAGCTGTCCTGATATACCTTCTGGTTGGTGGCTGTGGTTAGTCTATTCATGAAACAGCACAGTAGCTTCATTTGAACCATAAAAGTAAACTGGGTCAATGGCAATGATGGCATGTAACCAGAAATCTGGCAAGATGTTTCCTAAATCCAGAACTGACATGGTCAGTGTTAAAGGAAGTCAGTGTTGCTCAGGAGTGACTCACCTCACTTCATCGGTTCATTAACAGCACTAGCCATTGAGAGGAAATTAGCTGGAGAAAAATCTGAATAAAGGCACTCTGTAAAAACCTTAAGCAGATAAAGAAGACCAACTAAACTGCATATGCAGGCATGGACATGCCCATCCCAAGCACACACACACATCTCATGTCTGAGGTTGAGTATCAACACTCACAGATTCCACCACAAGGAAAACTCTATGCCTGTGTATGTATATATCCTAGAGATGGGAACTAGCTGATGGTTTTCCAGAAATATTGAGCCATTAAATGAAGCAGAAGTTGGCCTTTCCCCAAAATGAAAGGATATAAATAGTAAAGGGATGCAATAACAATGGAAACTATAAGAAGTCATACAGTTAAATGTCAGAAAGACAAGTTCAATTTCACAACTAAAGGCTGTTGATGATTTCTTCTCTCTCTCCTTGAATAATCAAATGCAAATGCCTTTTAGCAATGGCAGCATTCAAATCCCACAAAAAATCAAGTAGTGCCCCCTTAAGGAGCAGTCCCATTGGCACAAACTGTAACACTTGCTGGGGTGCATCATTGTTAAGCAAAACACTCAACATTTCATTCACATTCTGCAGATACTGGAAAACTGCATTTGGAAGGTCCTTGTAACCGACACATAGCAGGACTGCACAGGTCTTCAGGGGTGCAGATGATGTGGGACAAGAAAACGTAATGAATTTAAAACAGCTGTGGAGTACAAGGATCAAACCAGCCATAAACCTTGTAAAACAAGAAAGTACAGGCAAAATCATTACATCGCCTGTATTAAGTTGCTGTAATGAATGTAGAAGGCAGTCCAAAAATAACTGCTGGTAAGTTGGGTCTCCATCATGAAGCAGTGAACAGGTAAAAGTCATGAGTTCGACTGATTCAAAGAGTTGAACTTCCAATGGTATATGCATTTTGTTATCAGGAAGAGCTGGAAAACCTACAAGCAGGCACTTTTTTTGGTTGCTGGGTTGTACAAACTGTTCATCTTGAAGGCACTTGGTAAGGCTAAACAACTCAGAAATTATCAGTTCTTCAGAAAAAACATGACAAGAACAATGCTGTTTTGGTCTAAACTTGAAATCTGAATCCAAGGCTCCTCCTAATGACTTTTCAATTGCTTCATTAAGAGCCTTTAAAATTTCACCATCACAAAAGGGAGAACACTTTACTTTTGGCAGTCTCTTTCCCTCTAAAATATGCCATAAATGACACTCAAGATTGGAGGCTGTCCCTTCTAAAAGAGAACTTTTCCCAGGATGGTACGAAGCATGTTCCTCAGCCCAACTATTAAAGTATCCTTGGGCCACCTTATCCTTCCATGAAAGGGTTTCTAGCATTTTCCTTTCATTATAGGTTTTAAAATATCTGTTCCTCTGCCCAAACCATTTTGTATTTGTACTACAACCAATATTAGATTTTTTTACTAGCCAATTATTTCTGGAAAGAGCCTTCAATTGGCACTTTTGCATGAAATATTGAACAGCACAGTCTCTTAATTTATTCAGCCTTGCTTGTTCCTTTTTTTCCATGCATTCAAACAAACGAATGTTCTCGGAAATAGTCTCTAGCTGGTATTTATGAAAGAACACACAACATTCTTCATGTCTTTTAAGAAAAGATTCAGGAATCACATGGTGGGGAAAAAGAGCTTTCCTGGTCATTTCAGTCCCAAAATTCAGCACCATCTTAGATAACAAAGGATGGATTACCTCTTTCCCCTTATAGTGAAGACACACCACATAGACTTCTGAGTTTCCTGCCTTGCTTGTAGCAGGTTTAAAAACATGGACTTGGTCAAAGGAACAGTTTAGCAGGTACATCAGGTTTATGGAACAATGTTCAAATAACGTAAACATCTTCAGAACAAAAGAGCCACCATTTCCAAGAGTCGTCAGAGCAGTGACTACTTCACAGTAGTGCAAAGAAGAGACTAAAGCTTCTTGTTCACCAGGATTTCCTTGGCAATCAAAACTCCCATCAGCAGTGATCAAGTGAACAGTGCCCATGTTGCTTACAAAATCCTGAAGTCCAGTCAGATATTTCAAGGTCATGATATCACCAGTGTTATCTGGACCAAAGTACCAACAATGCAAGGTATTCGCAATAAGTCGGTCATCCATAATCATCATCAGATTGTCATTTGCTTCATGGTATGGATTTAGGGTATTAGCCACCCAGTTCCAATCACAAGGGAATCGATGGGATTTCAAGTAATGATTGAGACTTGCTATAAAAGCTCCAGGAGCTTCACAAAGGTGTAGAGAATTCAGTTTTTCATTCTGAAAAGCTTCCTGTGGAATAATTGGAAAGCTGCACAAAATTTCATGAAACTTACACCATGCTTGAGTACAAAGTTCAGCATTCACATATTTTCTCACATGAGAAATGATTTTTCCAGCTTTATTAGTGAAAGCAGTGTGCTCATGCCACTCATCCAGTTTCTTATCACTCAGTTGGTTTTTTACTTCATTTAGGGAGTTCTTCAAATCAAGAAATACATTAAATTCCGTGTGGTCACAGGTGAAAATCTCACTGGGATCTGGTAACTGCCACTCATTATTAAGTGGCTTGCCATAAGAAAAGTTCTTGGCAAAGAGTTCAAAAATGGCAGCAACAACATCTGGGCTGAATGTCTCAGAACTTGAACCCAGTGGTGGCTTTCTGCACTTACTCATTTTCAAGTTAAATTAAAATCTAGAAAAAGAAAGCACATAATTAAATAAATCAAATTTATTAGTGAGTGAAATCTCATCCACAGCAAATCAGATCACATTCATGACAAACCACATAAAATGGAGACCTGGGCTCGAATTTCAGCTCTGCCACTTACAGCGTAGTAAGTGGCCTTGGGCAAGTAACTTTACATCTTTGAATCTGTTTCTTATTTAAAAATCTGAGGTATCATTTTTTTAGAGGAGAAAAAACATGCTACCATATACAAAAAAAAATCACAGAATATTCATCAGTGAATGGCAGCTCTTATTACCACAGTAGCCCCTTTAGTTTTCCTGCAAAGTCCTCCTCTACCTATGACCGAGACATTACCCACAGAGCCCAAACACACTTAGACTAAGATTCATCTCCAAACATGACCTTTGATCATCTGATCAAGCTCTAACAAGTGACTTTTAGCTTCTGTTTTTTTTTTTTAAGCTCCCTCCAAATTTCACTTCCTTCAAGGAGAGGATCCTGCACCTGATTCCCATACTGGTCCTGCTACCAGGCCTCTCTGCCACCACCCACTTCCTCATCGACCAGAATGTCAAGTATGTCCTCTGTCCAGATCTCATTCTTGTTAAGACATGCACTTTTGTTGTACTAAATCACGTTTATAAGTCACCAACCCTCATCCACAGACTATTAATATGATATACTTGACTAGTTAGCCTCCTTCTGCTCAGTGCTGAAACTGACCTATAGTTCACCCTGAGGTGTCTTTAAACTATTACAAATTCCTGCCCCATCTGGTCAGACAGCTCCCACTATTTTATGCTCACACTAAAAAATATTATTTACTCTTGCCACTGAAACTGAACATACTTTGATAGAAGAATTTTAAAGTGAAGATTATCCTTATTGAATATACAAATTACACAGTCACCCTACATTTTGTGTTCCAACACTTCCTAAGAAACCAAAAGCACCTGTCCACCAGAAAGGGAAAAGAATATAAAAGAAAGGATAGCTTAATGACATAGTGTTGGAAAAGTTCTAAATTCCAGCAGATAGAGGAGTAAGTATTACATACTACAGTTGACCCTTAAACACTGGGTTGGAACTGCACAGGTCCATTTATATATGGATTTTTTTTCTATAAATATTATAAATGTATTTTCTCTTTATTATTGTCTTAACATTTTCTCTAGTTTATACTATTGTAAAAATGCAACATCTAATACAGAAAATAAATGTTAACTGCTTATGTTATCAGTAGGGCTTCCAGTCAACAGTAACCCGTGTTGTTCAAGGGTCAACTGTACTTCTCAGCACAATGTTAATCAACAGATGATTTAGTTCATGAGCACTGCATTTATTTAGTATATCCAATGCATCCTACACAAGTTTTCAAAAAGAACCTAAATTTGTTAAACATGAAAAAACGATAATCACCAAAAAGCCAATGTCTGATGATTAAAATGGGAAAGTAAGTTGAGCTACCACAATAAATAATATCCAGAAGACTGTATTCTATTTGCATTTACTTTTACTGTTCTTTCAGCAGCGTGTTCACTAATTTATCATCCCGAGGTCAGAACAGTCCTTAGTGCACTGTAAGTACTCAGTAAATTATTTATCCAGGAAAAAAAAAGGATATAATATTTAGCACAAAAGACACTCCTCTGATTAGGTTCTGAATGAGTCATAACAATGAACTTCAACTTCATTCCAGAACTTCAGTGCATGACAAAAAAAAACAACAAATGGTTTAAAGAATATAAAGAAAGTTTCCAGTATGTGTGCCTATACCCTTTCATTAGGCACTCCATAGAGCTTTGTGGCATCGTAATTCTCCTAGGAGAGTATTACCATTCTTATTCTGCAGACTCGAGCAGGAAGTCGTGTACCCACTACCCACAGCCACAAAAGGAGTACCTGTGAACTTCACGTAAGACAAAACCCACACGACAGCTATTACCTCTCCAATTAACACAAAGGAGTTTTAGAAGTGTTTCCGCCAACTCCTCTTCTGCCAGCAACAATTAAAAGTAACAGCTAATGTGCATCCAGTGCTTCACTTTGGGCCAGGGGCACCCAAGATTCCTCAATCGGTGGAATTAAGTCCCAAGGGCCATTTAAGAGGCCCGTTCTCCGATCTGGAGAAACCTCAGTCCCAGCGCCGGCCTCCCCCACTGAACTACCAAAGGACGACCCGCGCTCCGAACCCGGCCCGGATTACCTTCGCTCACGCCCACCTCAGACTCGGGAGTCTAGAGAGGCGGCGCTTCACTCGCTCTTCTCACTCCAGGGGGCCATTCTCCACTTCTGCTCCCGAGGGTCTACGGCAATCTGCACCACGTAGGAGTGAGGTGACGCGCCACAGACCCAGGAAGGAGGCCCAGACCCGCCCTCCGGACACGGGGAACAGAAAAACAACTCCAAACCGCACCGCCACGGCGGCTGACAGCAGCCGGAGGCCCCTGACAAACACACTGCGCACGCTCCTGGAGGCCGGGAGGACGTCGCGCGTCAACGTTACGTAGGCTGGCACCGGACTCCGTTCTCTACGTTTTGCTTCTTCTTGGTGTACTAGAGCTGGGAAGCGCCATCCTTTCGCCCTACAGCGTTTATGGCAACAAAAGCCGCGCGAGCACCGACAGAGCGTCTTTTGGTACCGCCCCCTCCATGGAGGGGTGGGCTAGGGCGGGGCAAACCTGCCCGGGACAGGCTGGTTCCTCCCACTTGGCTGGAGCGGGGCGGCTTTCTAAAGCTGTCGGACGGACTTTAGTACAGATTAAGTTAAAACTGGTGTCTTGTAGACAGTGTGCAGTTAAAAGCGGAAATGGGGAAACTGCGATGTAACGCTTTGTTATTCTATATGTTTACAAATCAATAAGAAAAAGGCAACCTCAGAGGGAAAATGGGCAAAGATTTTAATAGGCCGTCCAAAAAAAAGTGAAATAGTCAATAAGGATAAACAAAGATTTATAAGAAAACGATTTGGAAATGAAAGCAATAGGTATCTTTCACCCAATTTGGCAAAGATTTTAAATAATAGTAGCCACAGTTGGTGAGAATACAGAAACAAGTTTATAAACTGTGGATGGGAGTAAAAATGGATACAAACCTTACAGAAGGCAAATCTTAAAATGGCCTTACACAGTCCAGAAATTCCCACTCCTAGCAATTTATCTTTAAAATACAACTGACACTTTGCACAAAATATCTCAGCACCTCAATAACAACAATAAAAAACTGGTAATTCTTATGGTACATCCATATAATGAAATATTATGTAGCCATTAATAGGCTATATGTGTAACAGTATTGCATGAAAATAGGAGACTATAGAACTGTATGTAGAGTTTGAACTATTTTATGTAAATTTTAAATATGTAAAACACATTTCTTACAAGTCTTCCCTGAGGTGCATCAATGGAAGAAAAATGCCTTTTCAAAATATAGTGCTAGGTGATTGGAAAATCCATATGGAAAAAAACATTATTTGGACTCTTCACATAAACAAAAATACAGTTCACTTGGATTGCCAACCTATATTTTAAAAGTCAAACGATAACTCTTATAGCAGAAAACATAAGAGAACATGTTTGTGAACAGAAAGTAGTCAAAATGTTTGTAACAGGACAGAAAAAGCACTAATTATAAAGGAAAAATATATAAATTGAACTATATTAAAATTGAAAACAGCCCTGGCTGGCGTAGCTCAGTGGATTGAGCGTGGGCTGCGAACCAAAGCGTCGCAGGTTCAATTCCCAGTCAGGGCACATACCTGGGTTGCAGGCCTTGACCCTCAGCAACCGCACATTGATGTTTCTCTCTCTCTCTATCTCCCTCCCTTCCCTCTCTAAAAATAAATAAATAAAATCTTTAAAAAAAAATTGAAAACAAAAGGCAACCTATAGATTGGGAGAAGATATTTAGAATAATGTATATGTGTATGACAAAACGCTTGTATCTAGAATATATAACTTCTACAAGTGAAAAAAGTCCTATGAGAAATATAAATTTTCCTAGTGGAAAAATAGGCAAAAGCCTGGAACAAACACTTCAAAAAGATGAGATCTGCGAGGCCAATTAAATACGAGAAGATAGTCAACTTCACTAGTCTCTGGGGAAATGTAAACTAAACCCATAATGAGACACAATCACACATTAGACCGGCTATAATGAAAAAGACTGAAGATACTAGTGTTGGAGAGTATGTGGAGCAACCAACTGAAGTTGATTGGAAGAAAAAAATCATCCATGATCTTCCAAACTCACGGGTTTGTTGCCTCTTTTTTTTTAGTTGTTTTGAAGTGTCATGTACATACAGTCAAATGCCCAGATTCTAAGTGTACTAATTCAACCACTTTTGCCAAACAACTATTAAATATTTCAGAAAGACCACTTGAGCCCCTTCCCTATCAATCTCCCTCCCACAAGAAGCAAACACTGATCTGTTTTCTGTCACCCGAGTTTAGTTTTACCTTGTACAGAATTTCATATAAATTCAATCATTACAGTTTAATATTTTTTTGTTTCCAGTTCCTTTCCATTCAGTAAATATATATTTATATGGTAGGGGAGGGATATTTTTTTCCTTCTACCTTTCTGAGTTCTCAGCTAAGACTCTAACAAAAGACAGATGAACAATTGAAAAACATATGAATTTACTAATATATTTTATGTAATGTGAGAGCCTGAACAAGAAAATGAAGACCTAAGGCTGAGTGTTTTTATACTACGTTTGAGAGCAGTGGGAAAATGTGACAGACAGCTGTGAGCTAAGAGGGGCAACCTGGGCAAACGTGCAAGGCGGTTCCACTCAGATTCCTTTCAGAGCCCTTGCATCTTCAGAGAGAAGAATGTTCTTTTCCTTCAGGTACAGGGAGAGCATATCTCATATGAGAGTCTTATGACCTGCTCCAGGGCAAGGTCAGAGAGTCCAACAACTGCCATTCCTCACATTCCTTCAGCTTAAAATACCCAGTATGCCGAGCCACCATAACTGTGGGTAGCATGTTCCAAGCCCTGTCGATTTTCCTCCACATTGTGTATGCATCCGTAGCGTGTTCCTTTTTATTGCTAAGTAGTATGTCATTGTATGGCTAGACTACAATGTAATTATCTGTTCTCCTGTTAGTGGACATTTGAGTTTACTGGTCTATTTCCAGTTTGGGCCTATTATGAATAAACCTGATATGAACATTCTAGTACAAGACATTTTTGTGAGCATATGTTTTGGATTTTGTTTGCTTGTTTTTTACTCTTGGGTAAATACCTACATGTTTTTTACTCCATGACACAGTGTCATGGAGTAGGTCAGGGTTTCTCACCCTCAGCATTATTGTCTTTTTGGGAATCACTGAGGTAGAGGTATGTGTAAGTCTTTAAGAAACCTCCAAACAGTTTTCCAAGGTGCTTGAACCATTTGACATCCCTACCCACAACATGTAAGAATTCTGGTTGCTTCACATCCTCACCAACTTTTGGTGTTGTGAACCTTTTTCATTTTAGCTATTGGTGAGAATTGGGTGCTTTTTACATGATTCTTAATAAAAAATAACTAAGAATGAAAATCTGTGGATATTGTTCTTTTGTGGGACTAAAGGCTAGATAAAGGATCTGTGATCTCCCTGAACACAGTCACTATGTTCCCTGGGGGTTGTAAATACTCCAAACAGCAAAGCTCATAGTGAGCTGGTCTTCACTAAAATAATCACAACATTAACTAACATTTTTTGAGTACATAATATGTGCTAAACATTGGAAACTGCCTTTTTTTTTCCATTTAATCCTCTCAACAACTCCATGAGGTAGATTCATGTATTGTCCCCAGTTTATAAACAGAGAAATCGAGGATCAAAGTGATTAACCAATTTGCTGAAGGTTGTGTAGTCAGTAAGTAGCAGAGTAAGGGCTTGGGTCTCTGTTAGCCTGACTCCAAGGCCAATCTGTTCTGCAGAGAATTCCTAGGAATTGCCTCCAGTAATTTAAAAACAACTTTATAACCCACATTCATGGCCAGAAATACTTACAGCAGGCCAGTAATTTTTTTAAAAAAAAGATGTTTCATTCATTTAGTCTTAAATGCAGGAGGATAGATTGTTGCAAAATTTTTAAAAAAGATAAAATGTTATGAATGAATAAAATTAGTATCTGAAACTTTAAGAAGTTGAAAGAAAATAACCAAGCCCCATACTAATATATTTGCAAATATGAATAAAAATGCACAGCTATGTGAATGCTGTTAGTATCAACTTTTACTTATATATTTTACAAGAATCCATAGCAACTGAGTGGAAGCTAGCTATAATCATTCTTTCCAATTCCTGAATGTTCTTTACACTCTGCAGGCATGACAATGAGAATGTAAGTAGCATACAGAAGTTAAAACAACCCCTCCTCAGCCTCTGCTCTGATTATATTTCTCTGTCAAGGCAAACAGAAACTAAACTGCTTCTCTGGTCATTTATCACCAATCAACCTGCTGAGTCTCTAATTACATTCTCAGGCAGATTCTGTGAAGTGACAACATACAAACTGTAGTCCCAGAAAACCAGAGGGAGTGTTCTCTGATAATGGAAATGTTAAATATCTTGACCGGAGATTTAGGTTAGAGGTATATGTATATGTCAAAACTCATCAAATGATATAATTAAGATTTGAGCATTTCACTAAAAAATTTTACCTTACAAGAAGAACCCTAAACAAATATTGAAATCTGTCTAACCATATGCATGCTGAAGTGTTTAAGAAAGAAGTATATAGACATCTGCACCTTACTTTGAAATGCATATTACATAAAATGCATTGATGGATGGGCAGAGGGATGGATCAATGATAACGTAAGTAATCGCAAAATGTTCACAATTGTTGAATCCAGGTGGTGAACACATGGCTGTTTGCTATGTAATTCAGCTTTTCTCTGACATTTTTTCATAGTAAAATATTGAGGGAAAGAGATTCATATCATAAAAGGCAAGCATGGAATCTCTTTCCATTAAAAATTACATACACACATACATACAATGTTTATCTAGTATTTCCAACTAACAAAAGAAATAGCACTGGACTTGCTGGAGACCAAGCGGAAGTTCTTATGGCTCATTTGATCCACTTACCTGCCTTAGTGAGCTCCATCAGGCTTGACTTTGACCATTACATGACCTTCGGTTTTCCCTGTTCTTTGTCATGTCGTGTTCCACTTCCTCTCTCCTGGACTGCACCAGTGTTTAAGTGCAGGAAATTAAGAAAACGCTGAGGTCAAAATTCCAGAAGTCAATGAAGTTTCATAAACCTGATAACAATTCTTTCAGTTTCCCTCATGATAATCTTCACTAGATCTTTAAGTTACATTCTGATTAAAAGTGTCATGCAGCACCTTAAGTTGTCAAACAATGCTATAAAAAAATACAGTAAAAACTATAACTAATTTCTCTATTCAGCTATTGGGTAGAACATCTACATTGTGGTACTTGTAGGAAAGTGCTTGAAAACAGCAGCCCAAAATCTCTTTTCTTACTGTTTAGAAACTGAGTAAAAATTATGAATGCAAGTCATTTAATTTTTAAGCATAAGTGCAAGAATTCAAAGCATCAGGTCATGAGAGCAGTTTTTGTCTATTGCTGGACCT